TGTGAAGAAGATCGAGACCGGAAAGTGGGCAGCCACTGCGAGAAGGCAAACGAGCCTGGGCCTGGCGGTGAGCCCCTCCAACATTTAATGGACAGTGGAGGAGTGAGGTCAGAGGGGAAAAAAAGAGATGGCTTTAAGAAATGCTTGGGTGTCGTGTCAAAAGACACTTAGGAAGAACTCAACAGTGTTGGGTGAATGGATAAACAAACACACAGATGAAAGAATGCCTCAGATGACATAGCCCAGGAGATGGTAGACCAAGGACTCTAACCCTGGTCATCTTCAGTTCTCTGCTCTTCCTCTCAAACCATGCTGACTAGTGACCAGCACCTTACATTCAGTGAGGGAACCTTCTTAGAGAGGGTGGGGATTTAGCTGGGGTTTGAAGGAAGGCCTGGATTTGCAGAGAGGAGTGGATTGGATTCCGTGGCACTGCCACCGCAGGCGAGAAAGTCCTGCTGGGGGAGCAGGAAGGAGGCGTGGCTGAGCCCTTCACCTTTGTGCTAGTTTCGTCCTCTCCCTCACCCCCAACTTCATGCCTCTTGCAGTTACTACCCTACTCCCCTGTCCACCTGCCACACACATAAGTTCTCACCACATTAAAGCAACTGTCTGTAGCCCTTGACGGCCCCTCTGCCGTCCATCAGCTCAGTGGGTCTGCTCTGTTGAAGCCACAGCTTTCACACAGTAGTCCCTAAACTCACTTCATGCTTTATTATTTTTTTATAAATTTATTTATTTTTAAAGATTTATTTTTGGCTGCATTGGGTCTTCGTTGCTGCGCCGGGCTTTCTCTAGCTGTGGAGAGCAGGGTCTCCTCTTCGTTGTGGAGCACGGGCTCTAGGCACGCGGGCTTCAGTAGTTGGGGTGCGTGGGCTCAGTGGTTGTGGCTCGCAGGCTGTAGAGCGCAGGCTCAGTAGTTGTGGCGCATGGGCTTAGTTGCTCCGCGGCATGTGGGATCTTCCCGGACCAGGGATCGAACTGTGTCCCCTGCATGGGCGGGCGGATTCTTAACCACTGCGCCACCAGGGAAGTCCCACTTCATGCTTTATTTGTGCTCCCTTTTTAACCTCCATGAGTTTAACATTGATCCCTCCTGAAGCTGCAATGTTCACTCATTAATCATTCGTTCATCAACAAATGACTATTGAGTGCCTGATTTGTGCCACGCACTACTCTAGGTTCTTGGTGTTAATGAGCAAAACTGACCAAGATTCCTGCCTTCAAGTAGCTGCCATTCTATTCAGGATAGATAAAATAAGTAAATTATATAGTATGTTAGAAGGCTACAACTGAGATGGAAAAAATATAAGGACATTGGGCTTCCCTGGTGGCACGGTGGTTGAGAGTCTGCCTGCCGATGCAGGGGACACGGGTTCGTGCCCCGGTCCGGGAAGATCCCACATGCCGCGGAGCGGCTGGGCCCGTGAGCCATGGCCGTGAGCCTGTGCGTCCGGAGCCTGTGCTCCGCAATGGGAGAGGCCACAGCAGTGAGAGGCCTGCGTACCGCAAAAAAAAAAAACAAAAACAAAAATAAATAAGGATATAAGGGGGATTGGGAGCTTGGGGCTGGGGTCAGGGTGTAGGTTTCAGTCCTGAGCTGTTACCAAATAGACTTTTTCCGGGCCACCTAGTTCCACTGCTTTCCCCGCCTGCATGCTGCTTCTCCCCATCCTGGGGCCAGGCGCCACCTCCGCAGCTCCATCTGCTTATTAAGCAGTTTGATGTATGGTCTACACTCATGATCTTTGAGCTTTTCCATTGACTGGCATCAATGTCATTCACATCTGAGCCCTCTGCAGGCTGCCCTGGCCCACCCACTCCTGCCTGTGTTGTCACCCTCCTGTGGCTCCTGGGTTGCTTGGTTATACCGGCTTGGGTGCATTTGCCCATGTTGCCTCGAGGGTGACTTGCTCAAGCATCTGGAATTCCTTCAGTAGATAATCCCTGTGCTAGGACTGGGGACACAGACATGAATGAAACTTGGTTTCTGTCCTTGAGGCGGCCACAGCCCAGTGTGGAGAAGGGTTCCCAGCAGTTACAAGATATGCTGAGAGTTGTCCCAGCAACACCCTCTCTGCCCTACAGCAGGGAAGGCCTCCCAGGTGGGCCTGGGTGAACGCTGAGGCGTGAGAATTGGGAGTTTCGCAGACAGTCAAGAGGGGAAGGGCCCTCTAGGCAGAGGCTTTTCCCTCAGTTACAGTCTGTCCTTCAAGGGCATCCTCTTCTCTTACTTTGTATTCCCCATCTGCCTCGCTGGGCATTCGCCAAGATTAGATGTTAATAATGCTACATAAATCGTTTGAAGCTCACGGAGCAGTAAAATATGAAGCTTGACAGATCGGATGAGGCCAGTTTTTGGAGTACCTCATGCTTAGGAGAGGAGCTTGGCTTTGATCCAGCCAGAGGTAAGGCTAGCAAGGCCAAGAGGGAGGACTTTCGAGGAAGATCTGCTTTCTGCCCTCAAAGGGTCCATGTGTTCTGCTCCTGGTGGGAGCCCAGAGGCACTGAAAGGGGCACGAGGGCCCAAGAGCAGACCACAGAGGTGTGTGCTTTTGCATTGGCATCGTTCACCCTAAGTTCTTCACTGCGATGGTACCCAGATGCCACAGCCAGCTCACGAGCAGTGCAGGGAACAGAACCCATGCCCCACCATGCCAGTGTGCTCCTGCCTTGGTTCTCTGCTGAGTACAAGCAAAAGTGGGGTGCACGGGTGGAAATGTTTAACAGCAGTTAGAAGTAGAGGAGATACTGTTACAAGGGAAAGTTGATTGATCTAAAGGCCAGGAACCTTGTGTTCCTTGGCTTTTGAGCAAGTCATAGAAATTACTGAGTACAAGTAAGATTTTTTTTTTTTTTTTTTTTTTTTGCGGTACGCGGGTCTCTCACTGCTGGGGCCTCTCCCGTTGCGGAGCACAGGCTCCGGATGCGCAGGCTCAGTGGCCATGGCTCACGGGCCCAGCCGCTCCACGGCATGTGGGATCTTCCCGGACCGGGGCACGAACCCGCGTCGCCTGCCGCGTCCCCTGCATCGGCAGGCGGACTCTCAACCACTGCGCCACCAGGGAAGCCCACAACTAAGATTTTGACAGCACTCTCGTTCCGAAACTAGGACTATAGGCAAGGGGCAGGGGAAAGGCCTGGTTAAGAACCCAGGCCCTGGAATCAGACTGCTTACCTTCAGATCCCCATTTCTTAGTGTGACCTAAGGTTTATTACCTGATTTCTATCAGCTTCAGTTTCCTTATCTATAAAATGGAGATAAAGGGATCTTTTGTGAGATTGTAGATGACATAGTGCACTGTAATGACTTAGCACGGTATGACACAAGAGTAAACATTCCTCAAATGGAAATCTTTAAAACAAAAATGAAGGTTGGGTCTTAAGGACTGGATAGGACTGGCCTATAGGGGCTGATTTGGAAGGGATTGTGGTGTGAAGCGCTGGAATGTCTGAATGTGGAGAGCAGGGTATGGAGAGGACAGCTTTGGGGGCTCAGTCTGCTTAGGAGGCTGGAGAAGGAGAGTCAGTGAAGCAAACCAAGCTTAGGATTCAAGGTGGAAGAGGCTAGAAAAGTGCCAGTCACTGAAGCCAAGCAGGAGAGTACCAAGGAAGGGATACAGCAGCATCCGGGGCTGTAGGCTAGTGAAGTGGGGATGGAGCAAAGGCCCTGGGCTGGACTGGGCAGAGCTGGAAAGTCTGGTGTACAGCGGGGGTATCCTCTCTCCACCTGCGGCAGTGCCATGTTCATATCCTTACCTTTCAGGGGTAGATGTGATAAATGGGGCCCTGGAATCGGTCCTGTCCTCCAGTAGCCGTGAGCAGTGGACCCCAAGTCACGTCAGCGTGGCCCCTGCCACCCTCACCATCTTGCACCAGCAGGTAAAGACCTGGGTGGAGAAGGTATGGAGGGGCCTTGCCAGGGAGGGGAGACCGGGAATGAGGGGAAGGGCCGTCAGTAAGATGGATGCACCCAGTATAAGAGGGCCGGGCTATTCCTTTCTAACTGGCTCCCCTCCCCGCAGACGGAGGCAGTGCTGGGGGAGTGCCGAGTGCGCTTCCTGTCCTTCCTGGCCGTGGGCAGAGATGTCCACACGTTTGCATTCATCATGGCTGCCGGCCCAGCCTCCTTCTGCTGCCACATGTTCTGGTGCGAGCCCAATGCTGCCAGCCTCTCAGAGGCCGTGCAGGCTGCATGCATGGTAAGCGGGTAGGGTGGTGGAGCGGTGGCCCCCGGCCCACATGGGGCAGGCTGTAGCGTGACCGCCCCCCCCCGCCCCCGCCTCTCTGCAGCTCCGCTACCAGAAGTGTCTGGATGCCCGCTCCCAGGCCTCCACCTCCTGCCTCCCGGCACCCCCAGCTGAGTCTGTTGCGCGGCGTGTAGGGTGGACCGTCCGTAGGGGCGTTCAGTCGCTGTGGGGCTCCCTTAAGCCCAAACGGCTGGGGGCGCACACGCCCTGAAGCCCTCTGCTCCCTCCACCTGCTTGCATTGGGCCCCAGGGAACTCAAGGGCACGGGGCAGGGAGGGGCCCTACAGGTTATTCTTAGACTTCAGGGCCCCCCCGCCCCGCCAGAGCTGCCCCTCCCCAGTAGCTGGGGTTCCCTGCCTAGGGGCTGGGAGGGAGATCTAATCCTGTAAGGAAGTGACAATACTGGGTGGATGAGAAGAGGAGCAAGAAGTGAGGCCAGCCCCAGGCTCTCCACCGCCACGTTTCCACTGGAGCGGGAGGAACTGGTCTAGGCCAGGCCCCATCTTCGCAGGGTCCTGCAGGGGCAGAAGGAGGGGACTGGTCCCGGCATGGGTCCCCTCCCCTTTGCTCCATGGGCACCTCTGCTGTACTGATATCACTAATAAAGTCTGCCCTGCTGAGCTGTGTGCCTTCCTGTGCCTGTACCACACCATCACTCCTGGTACCCTGATCCCTCAGTTAGGCCCGTTTCCAGGGCCCCCTTGACCTTCCTGCCTCAAAACAAGAAACTGGGACAGTCACAGCAGGGTCTGGAGTCCGAGTCTCTTGTTTTTATTTTAACAGCCTGGCAACCAGGCAGCAGCAGCAGTACAGGGTCCCTGGCTGGCCAGCACAGGCCTGGGGTGACAGCTTCTGTCTGGTCTTCCCAGGGCAGTGCAAACTTAGACCTCTGCTCCACAGCCATGAAAGGATAGTGGCCTCAGAGCAGCCAGCCCCACTCCCATATCTTGCTAAACCAGATCCAGGAAAGGAGGTCTTGTTTCCGAGGTGTGCTTGGGCCCAGGGATAAGCTCTTCCACCAGACATTCTTCTCGCCACAGTGGCCTTCTGGGGTTTTCGCTCCTTGTCTAAGACAAGCACTTTCCCACCTCTGGGCCCTAGGGGTGTTAGCATAATGGTGGCCTTGGCCGCAGGCTCTGGACAGGAGGGAGGTTTGCGTCCGGCATCAGGTGGCGACACAGGGCAGGGCTGTCTGACCGGGCGGACAGCTGGGCGCACAGAGTGGCGAGGCGGCAGGGTGTGCCACAGGGCTCAGAGGGCGGGTGGCCCTTATGGTAGAGAAACCAGAAGGTCTGGAAAAGCTGCGTGTCACTCCGCATGCGGTACACCAGGTCGTGCCAGGCGGCGGGCAGCACATTGGGCAGCCCATAGGTTTCCCGAGCCCTATAGAGGAGCTGCCAGTGTGGTGTCGCTCCGGGCTCATTCGCCTGCGTCAGGTTCAGGATGTAGGTCTCGTGGTCCAGGACCAGGTGAGAGCTCCCGGAGTAGTTGCCATCTATTTGGTAGACACGGTACCCTGCAAGGAGGGAGGGCTGACCAGAGAGGGAAAGGACAAAGGCAACTCCAGTGGGGAGGCAGAGCTCGCCCCTGGGCGGCCTTGGGTCCAACCCTCCTTCCTCTACCCCAACAACTTCCTCCCTCTCATCGGCTTCCTCTATCCCGAGACCTCCTTTATCCCAACAATTTGCTTTCACCTCACTCACCAGGATTGAGGCTGATGTAGGTGGTGGCACTGGGCGCCAGGAAGGCAACCGATAGCGGCCGGCTTAGGGTCTCCTCATCATAGAAGATCTCAAACTCATCCACGTGGGTGTGGCCAAAGAACTGACCAGCCAAGGTGTTCTCATACCTGGCCAGAAGACACTAATCATATTCAGAAGTTTCGAGCAAGGGGGAAGGGGAGAGCTGGGGAGGACTGGATGCTTGCTTTCTCTATCCTTTTCAAGGAAGTAGCGTCCCCACCCCAGTGGGGCAGCAGGGATGGTGAGACGCTTGAGGGAGTTTCTGACCTTTAGACTTCACCCGCTCGCCCCCAACACACCTCCCTCCTACCTCTCCACAATTCGGTAATAATTCCAGCTCCAGCTCTTCAGGCAGTGCCCTGGGGGAATGTGGCCAATTATATGCACCTGTGGGGAGAGTTAAGGAAGGTTATGAGGGCAAGAGGGGTCCAGGAAGCCCTGGCCAGGCTAGTTGGTACTCATCTTTCCTACAGTGGCTGGCACTCCTGGCCAGAGAGAGGGGGAGCAAATGAAAGGACTTTCTAAGGGTGACCGTGAGCTGAAACCCCAAGGAACACTGTTGGGAGTGCCCGAAAATCAAGATTCTCTGCTCACAGGTGCTCCAGATCCAGAGAGAAGTCTACTTGTGAAGGTCCTGCTATTCCTCCCACCCTACCGGCACCGGCCCCTCTGGGTTTCCACCACTCTCGCTCACTTTGTCTCCTCGGTCCTCAGCGGCCTGAAGCTCCCCCACCAGCCACTGGAGCTGTCCAGCAGGATCTGTGGAGTTGATCAAGAGCCAGAAGTTCTCACGGGAACAAAAATTCATATTGAGAGAGATGAGGCGGAGGCCGGGGCGTGGGGAAAGTGCATAGAACCCCCCAATTCTGAAACAAAGTGAACACGGGTCAGCATGCATTCATAACCCTAGCCCTGCATGCCCAGTCCTGTGTAGGGAATCTGGGTGAGGGCAGAGGCACCTAGGACATCATCCCTACTCTCAAGCCCACGTTCTAGCTGAAGATCAGACAGCACTGATTATAGGGCCCGTGTGATTGAAGCAAGTGGCTCCGAGGAAGGCTCTAGTTCAGAGAAGGCATAAAAGTGAGCTAGAAGAGGCAAAGGCCATCCAGAGGGAAGAGGACCTAGGCCTGGGAAAGTTGGGAAAAGCTGGGAGGTTAGAGAGGGGAAGGCATTTTAGAGAAGACCGGACTACCACAGAGGAGGTGCGCTGCTAGCCCTTCACCCTGTGAAGGAGGGTGGCTGGAGATAAGGGTGGAAATGGAAAGTGGGGTCCGATTTGGAGGGCCAGTGAAGAGAGCTGAGGACTCAGCCTAGGGTAGTCACACATAATGCTAGGTTCCCTGCTCCCTTCACTTTCATCCATCTTTCTCCTCCCTTCCTGGGTTTCCGTGGGCCTCAAATACCTGAGGGTGCGAAGGGCTTCAGCAGGCAGCCAGGGCTCCCAGGCCTTGGCCATCGCCTCGTAGAGCCAGTGCGAAGACTGGTTGCCCTCTATGAAGGGGGGAGGGAAGCTATTGACGGGTGTGCTCTCGTGGTTGCCCACAGCAGGGTACACAGGCACTGGCCCCAAGAACTTCTTCACGAGGTCTGTGACGGTGGTCAGGGCCCGCAGCTGGTCCTGACGAGACTGCTGCCAGATGTTGTGGGCAGGGATATCGCCCGTCCAGTACACCATATCAAAAGGGCCGGCGGGGCCCAGGCCACTCAACAGGCTCTCCAGGGTCCGCAGGGGCAGGTCACACTTGCTGTACTCGCCCCAGTATCCAGCACCCAGCCGGGAGGCAGGCGGCGGGCCAGAATCCTGGCGGCAGCACAGGGGGTTCTCACAGTTGGGGTCTGTGCCCTCCAGGTAGCTTTGATCCCAGTGCAGGTCAGTGAGGAAGAGGACGCGGCTGACAGGGGAGCCTGGGGCCGGGGGCTCGGGCGGCTGGGGCGATGGCTTTGGCACAGCCGGCAAAGAGATGTTCCAAGATGAGAAGATGTCCCAGTGTCCACAGGAGGAGCCCAGGAGCAGACCACAGGCCTCAGACGGGCTCAGCACCGAGCGCGTCCACACCTCCACCATGTCGTCCTGAAAGAGCTGGACGGCTGACTGGCACACAGCCGGCGGTGCTATTTTCAGCAGCGTGCACATCTTGATGGCCATGGAGCCCACCTGGGCCACGCTGGCCTCGTTCTGTGGTGGGAAGAACCAGTGGCGAGAAGTCAGAAACAGAGCACAGGGACCAGGCCAACACCTGGATACGACCCGTGGGCCTCCACATCCACACCGGGGCTAGAATGGACTCAGTACCACGTGGTGAAGAGATGTCGGTTCACCCCTGCCTCTCACAGACACTGCCCTGACTCAGGCGTCACCAGGCCGATACTTACTTTTCAGCTCAGTGGCATTTCAAGCCTTTGCTTGCGCAGCTCGCTTTCTCGGGCACTGTCTGCTGAGTGCCCTGGAATTTGGGCTGGGCGGAATGACAGACTGACCAGGGTTTGGGGACACACACGAGGAGAGGGCCCTGATGCCCCGAGGAGCCCCACGAAGCACACCCACCAACCAGCGCTCCTCATACCCCCATCAGGGTCAGTCAAGGCAGCCCAGCCCCAACTAGTCCCACACCTCTGGATACTCCTTAACTCAGGTCCCCTTTGAGTGAGTAGCTGGTCCCAGGCACGGTGCTCAGGGCCGGAGGTGCCAGGTGTAAGGCGGAGGGGATTCAGTCAGGCACGCCAGGGTGGGAGTCCAGCCCACCTCGCAGAAGCCGGCCCCTCCTACAAGTGACTTCAGCTCCGGGGCTTCTATTCATTTGTAAAGCGGAGATAACCACAGTAATGAAACCACCTTTCAGGCTAGATTTAGCCTGTGTAAAAGGGTTGGCACGGTGCCCAGCATGTAACTCGCACTCTTTTCTTACTTCAGAAGGTCACAGTGGAGGTAGTGATGGTGGTGGTGTGCAGCGGCTGGGGGGCCCCAAAGGGGGGCAAATTCAGTAGAGGCTTGTGGAGGACAGCCTCTCCATCAGCGATGCTCTTGGGGACCCCGGAGCGCCGGCCTCAGCCCCAGCCGCCACCGCCAGCCCTCCCTTCTGGCCTGCACCTCCCGCAGTCCCTTAAGCGCTCACCCGCAGCCTGATATCGATGGCGGTGAACAGTCCTTTGCAGGCGGGGCAGGTAAGGTTCCACCAGCTAAAGCCTTCCCGGAGCTGGGGCGCTAGGCGAATGAACTTGGCGGGACGGCCTTGGGCGGGAAGAGGGTGGGCCCCGGCAGGGGCCCAGAGAACCTGGGAGTCGGACAGGGCCAGCGCCAAGCCCATCCACAGGAGCCTCAGGCTGGGGGCCCCCAAGGACCTGTCCAGTGTCTGCTCCCGGCCCGACCTGGGGCGGCCCTGGCCGGAAGACACTCCGTGGCGGGGCATCGCCCGGCTTCCTAGACCAGGCAGGTTCGCGCACCCGGCCCCAGATGGCGTAGGCCCTGGTCGGCTCTCAGGAACCCTGGCGGTGCCAGGGACACCGATTAGTCCCCGCTGCAGTCGGCTGACTGCTCGGCGACAAGCCACAAAGCAGCTCCGCCCCTTCCTCTTCCTCGGTTCCGCCGCAGCTGATCGCGGTGGCTGGCAGCCTGGGCAAGGCTAGCGAGGCGGAGGTACAGGCGGAGTGGGCCGGACGCGCCTGGGACCCGCCCAGGATCCCACCTGCGATTCCGCCCAGGCTCTGCCAGCTGTGCGAGGCCGCTGTAGCCGCCCAGCTCTTGCTGGAGCCGATCGTGTACGGCTGGTGAGAGGCCCCTCCTCTCTCCAAACCTGCACTCAAATTCCTGGAATAGCTAACTGCCTGGCCCACCAGGCTTTAAACTGGGGAAGTGGCGAGGGCATGGGGGGTGTTGGTGGCCGGGAGCACAGCGGGGCGGGGATTCTCACACTGTTACCTCTCCGGCCCAGAGGGCTCCGACCCTCAATTTCTTATGTTCTGCCACTGCTATCCACACCCTTGAGTCGCCCTGACTGATCATCTTTTTGACTCAGACTTCCCCAGATGGAAGGGGCCCTGGGCTCATGCGGGGACACCCATACCTTCATTATATGGATGAGGAAACAGACTCAAAAATGGTGAAGTGGCCAAGAAGGGGTAATGACTATACAGACAGGAACATGGATTAGAACTTCGGTCTCCCACCTTCCTGTAACCATGATGGTGAAAGCTATCATTTACTGAGCTCTACAGGATGCCCCAGGCACTGAAACAGGCACTTTATAATGACTAATCCTCAATTCTAACAACAACCCTAAGAAATAAGTATAATACTATTATTACCTCCATTTTACGGATGGGGAAACTGAAGCATAGGAAAGTTAAGTGGCAGAATAGCAATTAAATCCTAAACTGTGTAATTCAGTGCTTCTCCAGGATCCACAGGTCTACCAAGTCCTGTCAGTCCTTGCCTTTGAGAATTTTTTTCAAGTGACTCCCTGCCCCTACCACCCCGAATCATATCAGATAGAGTAATTATGGTATAATAGAAAATATATTTGGTCTTATCTCCAGTTTTTGGCACTAAGCTCCTAAAACCTTTTGAATTTCCTGAGTGATAAGAGTGTCTTTTGTTATTTATACAAGCCCCTTTCAATCACATCTGAATTTATGCTAATAAGGTGAGTTAAGGTGGGACCCCTAAATAGCCTCAGGATGGGGCTGGTCACCAGAAAGAACTGATCAGAGAGTGAGATGTTTCAGTCTCACCCCCAGTCTTCTGGTTGGGGAAGGGGGTTGGAGACTGAGCTCTATAAAAACTCTCGCAGAGCTTCTGGGTTGGTGAACATTATCAAGGTGTTGGGAGGGGGTATGCCTGCAGAGGGCATGGAAGTTCTGTGACATTCCCCCACGCATGCCTTGTCCTATGCATCTCTTTCAGGCTATTCCTGAATTATACCCTTTGTATTAATCAGGACATGTAAGTAAGGTGTTTACCTGAGTTCTGTGAGCTGTTCTAAGCAAATTATCAAACCTGAGTAGAGGGTCATAGAACCCCAGAATTTACAGCTGGTTGGTCAGAAGTATAGGTGGCAACCTGGGACATTTTGTAAGCAGATAGGTTAGGGTGTCCCCAGAGGAAAAGAATCAGATATAGCTTTTTGACATAAGAGAAACCGTTTTAGGCCTAAGCCATTTTGTGATCTAAGCCTGGCACAGTGCCTGCCCTTCAAGAGGTCTCAGTAATAAAGATCTTAAGGGAAAAAACAAGACTGTTATCAGGCAAGAGAAGTAACCATAGCAAAGAGACAACAAATCAGTTGTAAAGACTCTCAGTTCTGTTTCAATGGTAAAGATTAGCCTGAAGCACTTTCTTGAGCCGTTTTTTCAGAATTTAAACCCCTCCTCTGAGTGAACACCCAATTACCAGAGCCACTGGAACCTAAGGGATGATAATGTTGACCTTTTCTGACTTCAGTCAACTAAAGCTGGGACTCTATCGACCTTTGCCTCAATTCTATGCAGAATTCCCCTGCTCAGGCCCCTTCGTGAATATGTATGAGCCCTTTGCTTAAAACTTCCCCAATCATGCTGTCAGGGAGACGCTGCTTTGTGAAAGATTCCTGGTGTTCACCTTACTTGCTACAAGTAATAAACCCTTCCTTCTCCTAATCTCTGGCTCATCTGTGTCTTTTGGCTTGACATCCACTGAGAGGTTAACCCAGTTTTCTGGTAACATTGTGACTGGCCTCTGGAGTGGGGACAATCTTGTGGGACTGAACCCTTTAATTTGTGGAATCTGATGCTAACTCCAGGTAGATAGTATCAGAATTTAATTGAATTGTTGTAAAATTAGTTGGTGTTGGAGAATTGGTTGGTGTCAAAGAAAGCACCCGCAGAACTGGTGTCAGAAGTAGGATTTGCTAGCTTGACCCTAGCTCATGGAAACAAGTGGTTTGGGAAGAGGTAGGATGAAAGGGCAGAGGACGAGGAACCTTTGATTCCTGGGTGGCCACATAGGCACCCATGGTATGAAGCAGCAGATGTGCTGTAATCAATTACAAGAGGTAAATTTTACCAGTGGAATTTAGAGATAGATCCAATTCCTGGGGCATTGGTTCACTAGGTACTTGAGGAAATGGAAACTGATAAGAAAAAAGCAAACTATGTAATTTCTTGGTTATTGATATCTGTAGTAGCCAAAATGAAAGTAAGAGAGAGTGCTGGCTTGGACCTTGATTGGTCTGAGCTTCGGCTTCTAGCCTCAGAGCCACCTGCACAGGGAAAAAATTATGTGGGGACGACAGCAGGTACCTCTAAGACTCTGGTCACCAAGAAGGTAGTACATGTTGGGAGAAGACAAAACCAAGAAACTACTAAAACCGGGGGATATAATGTGAAGGAGTTGTTTTATTTTATAGATTTAGTGTCATCAACTTCCTAAATAATCTTCACTGAAATGCATTGTGAGAATGATTAATTTGGTGGCAGTATCTTTGCTTTTAAATGCTACAGAATGGAAGAGCATGTTTGGGTTGATACAGGACCCATAGCTTACCATGGAACAATTACAGATGGTTATATGATCCAGACACACAGCAGGTTGTTCCTGAGGCAGTGGCCAGGCTGTTGGATTGGATAAAAGCCACTGTAAGGTCTGTTTACCCTGATAAGGGTAATTATTCAGCAACCCTCATAAATGTCAAGTGGAACACCTCAGATAAAGCAGCTGATCTGCTTCATATGCAGGCCACGTGGAACTGGCTTTATGATGACCTGAATAATTCACCCACTGACTATACCCATTACCCAGGACATGGTAAATGCTATGGTTAAGCAGGCTCCTTTTGCATGGGCATCACTTTTGCATTGACACCTCATGTAACTTTACTGCTACATAATGGAGCACCAGTCCAAGAAGTCATATTGAATTTGTTATCTTCCCTTCATGGGTCTTACAGATGCTAATAAAAACATTATATTAATTAACAAGAGAATGGGGAGACATGGATGGGAGAATCAAGGGACTCATCCCAACAGGGTGGATATCTTTAGATGGTTATTAAGAAAGGGATTTCAAGTAGCCCCATTTCTCCTCAACTGCTACTGCTCTGCGTCTCTGTCCTGCCTCATGTAGGACACTGATGACCCTCAGGGCCCACATTCTATCTGTTCTCCAAGACCTTATCTTCCAAAGTCTCATAAACAAAAAATGTTGCGTATCACTCCAGTTCTACAAGGCTCAAGCACTGCAGTTGTTATAGTTAGATGCATGTTTAAAGAATACCTTCAGGGACTTAGATATTTAAGTCTTATAGTTAGATGCATGTTTAAAGAATAACTTCAGGGACTTCCGTGGTGGTCTATTTTGTTGACTCAGCACTCCCAGTGCAGGGGGCACGGCCCTGATCCCTGGTCAGGGAACTAAGATCCCATGTGCCGCATGGCATGGCCAAAAAAAAAAAAAAAGAATAACTTCAATGAACCAAGATTCTTGCCTCTTCCCATACGTGGAAAAGAACTAAAATAATTAACTTGAGGTGCCTGTTCTTTGTGATTAGCAGCAATCTTTTGATGTTCAACTATATGTTTGTTTTTTCCCAGCAAAAACCTCATATATATCCTGGCTCCTGCCTTACTTCTTTGGAGCAATTCCTCAGAGCTATCCTAGAGGCTGTCTCCTGGGCTATAGTTCCGAAGTAAGGTCTTAACTCACAAATTTACATTGCGCGTTTTTCTTTCAGTCGACAGTCTTATCCTTCACTCATATCCCATCTCCTTAATAACACCATTCTTTTTTTAAAAATTAATTAGTTAATTAATTTATTTTTTGTCTGCATTGGGTCTTTGTTGCTGTGCTCGGGCTTTCTCTAGTTGCGTCGAGTGGGGGCTACTCTTCGTTGCAGTGCGCGGGCTTCTCATTGCAGTGGCTTCTCTTGTTGCAGAGCACAGGCTCTAGGCACACGGGCTTCAGTAACTGTGATGCAGGGGCTTAGTTGCTCTGCGGCATGTGGGGTCTTCCCGGACCAGGGCTTGAACCTGTGTCCCCTGCATTGGCAGGTGGATTCTTAACCACTGCGCCATCAGGGAAGCTCCAATAACACCATTCTTGATCACTCCCTCCTTTTTCATTTGCCCAGTCCTCTTTTCACAGTGTTTTCACATATATTGTTGCCTTTGATGGAACCATCACTTGCTGCATCTCAAGCGTCCTTATCCTTATGGATACCTGATCAAAGGCCCCTCTTCCTCTGGCATGGATGACAT